GATATAAGCAAATTTGACGCTCAGCAAAGTAAAACATATCACTGTCTTGCAAGAGGATCGAGGACTACGTGTCTTCGTAGCGACGAAGCTGCTCTGTCCATGTTTGCGGAGTGCAACAGAAATAAATTTATTGCCGCAGTGAGAAGGAAGAAACCCATCACTCTGTAGCCCGAAAAACAATTGAATTATCAACTTGCACTGAGTGTTCCCATTTACCAAATGCAGAAATGCACGCTCCCTTCCTTGCTCAAACAAGCAATCCAGCAGGGGAGAATGCTAAGCGCCAAGCCGTAATCCATTCCTTACTATATACTTCAGGTGGCACGCCGGACTGTTTCAGCACTTTGGAACCACAGTATACTGACCAGCTGTGGAATAACCGTGGGCTCGGAGTACGACCAAAGCAACCACGCCGCAGCCTATCCTTAACCGCGATTCTGGCATCGGTTGCTTCTCTTGTGACGGTTCTGGCTTGGCTAGGCTCATGTTATGTGCGCCGAAACAGAGCCATAGGCGTTGGGCCTACTCGACGCAATCTTTCGGAGCTCAGGAATGAAAACAACCTTTCGGATATTCTGGAGGAGTGCGTGTCACTCGAAGAGGAACTTGGCATTTCTCATGATGCGCCTAAGCTGGAGGAGGAGGAGGCAACTACGAAAGCTAGGTACTTCTCAATGCTACATGAATCTGCAGAAGCGTTCGAACGGACTCCAGACCAAAGTTCACGGACATCGCAGCAGGTTCCCACGCGGTTTCCAGAAAGCGGCTCTCCACAAAAAGCAGATGAAGCCCAAAGCAAAAACTCACTATTGCTGAGGCCACACGGGTACTGGGGAGCTCGAGAGGAAGCATCAGAACTTCTCCCGAGCATTTCAGGTGGAGGAGCAGCGCCTTCCTTACATCCTGCTGGGAAGCCCAGCGTACATGGCGTCCCCAGAGAGCGGTTGCCGCCTGGCTTTGGCCCTCTTCATCAGACGACGCCGCAGCAGTTGGTGCCTGCTGAAACACGTTCCATGCTCTTTACGAAGGATGCATGTGGCACGTACCTTAATGCTTCAGCTCCTGACGCCAGGACGGGCATGAACCCGCAGGTGCCATTTCGGCGTGTGCAAGGATATCACGAGAAAGGAACATCAACGTTTGAAGATATGCCATCGAAAACATCGACATTTTCATCGGCTGCGCCCACATTCTACAAAGCAGGGGAGGCAGCCGCTTCGTCATTCTCGGGTGGTGGTGCTCCAAACGCTGGTAACGAATCGAGGTGCCCTGGAGCCGTGTTAGAGGGAGCTTCTTTGCCGAGTGGCTCACAAGACCCTCAGGAACAGGCACGACAGGAAAAAACACTGGAAGGCTCGTCAGGCTATTCAGCCTACAAAGGTTCCGATTTTGCCAATTTTTCTTCTCACAGTCAAGTTGGTTCTTCCGTTTCAGGCCCACATGGTAGTGCATATGCAAACACCACTTTGCAAGGCATCCTATCGTTTAAACCGTCGCTTGGAACCGCTATGGGAGGCGTAACAGATTATTCTGCCAATCCAGACCAGAATGCTTCCAAGCCTGTTCATAATCAAGAAGCTGCCCCGTTATCCTCGCGATTCGAAAGCGGCGGTAAAAGTGCTTCTTCACGGGACCTTCTAAGTGCAGATACCTGGGTTGAGGAACTTATCCATGGCATTTATCCAACAGGCAGCCAACAAATGCCACAGGCTGAGGGCAATGTGGCCACGGGACTGCAAGACGCAACCAAGCCCGTAACTACTGCTGCACCCGCGTTCAAACTAGGCGCGAGGACACTTCTGACTACAGGTTCAATCTCTGACACGAGTGATGTCAGCAGGACTTCGAGCGGAAGCGCAAGTACGCCGCCCTTGAATAACAATCTTCCGCCTCGGTCTCAAGAGCAACGCATGTACGAAGTGGCATATCCGGGAGGAGGTGCTACTGACTTTTCAGCGCCTTCGAATCATTCATTTTCTGCTCCAGCCGTGGAGAGGACGGTTGCAGATGCTGGGAGCCACGCGGCATGGGACATAAGTTTGCATCCGTATGTGCGGTTGCCAGTCGCACAGCTGCAAGACGCAGGTGGTGGATTTCGCAGGAAATTTTCCTTAACAAAACACCCGATTGAGCGTAGCCCGTTACCAATCTACGAAGCGATGCGCACATTGTTTGCCAAGGCTGTCTTAACTCCTGAAGAGTCGGATCTTCTCCTTTTACAGGCCGAGCGCTTGGTCTCCTACGCGAATACCAAGCTAGCCATGTCCTCGAGACTAAAGTCACCCTATTTCATTGTTAGGAAACTAGCGTCATTATTTGTGGCATTTGATTATCTGGTGTGCACAATTGAGGTCCTAGGAGACCAAATGGACACCGGGAGCTGGTGGGAACCGTTCGCACAGAGCTTTGATACAGATTTTACTTTTCCTACTTCAAGCATGCGTACCAAGAAAGCACGGGAAAGAATTAAATTGGCTAATCGCCTGAGCGCCGCATTATCGATTTACAAAAAGGGGGTACGCCCGCCACTTGAAGAGATTGTTGAGTTGAAGCGTACACTTTTCAGGAAAGTACGGGAGTATACCCAATTCAGGCATCCTCTTTGGCTTCTTTGGGTACATGATGACGTATACCCATTTTGGTTAGGCAACGGTGCTAAAGATCAACCAAATAGTGGAGGCGGCGGTTGACCGATTCCGCTAAGCAGGACGACGTTCAATTCGCTATCTCTTCTGCTGCGGACCAATTTTTCTTTTCACAGCAGCGCCCCGATCGCCTAGCTGCAAACTTTGCTAAACAGCAGCTCAATACTTTTCTTTTGCTGCGTCTTCTGTAGTCCGCAGCGGCCACTGCGCATGTTGCAGGCGCAGCGGGCATGCTAGTCCAGGCGCGCACGCCAACAGTGATTTTTTCCTTAGTGCAACACGCTCGCACGCCTAACCCTCTTCCCATTAAAGTCGCTGTACGCTCGTTTTCGATGCGGCACGGGCTCGGTTGAGCTTAAGGAAAAAGCAGGGAAGCTTTGGGAGAGCATGCAATTGCGGGGATGCCTTTGTGCAGAAAAGCATTGCTCACTCAGCAGTAGCTATTAGTTCTGAAGGCGCAGGACCTGGGAGGCGGGCATGATACCTCGAGTATCCATTTGCCATACCCAATTGCTGGTGCAGGGGCAAGCACAGATGCGTGGCCCGTTTCTGTGCTTTACTGTCGAATTCAACGTGCGTTGTGAAGAATGTGTTTTTCTTCTTTGCAGCAAAAACGCTCAATCTTAGCTCTGCAGAAGGCTTAGGGTTGATAATTCAGGATTGCAAGAGCCGCAATCACTTGGTTCTAAGATTCGCTTTCCTCACAGGTAGAATTCACTTTATTCACTCATGCTTATCGCACTGCACTCCTAACCCGAGTACGTCGGAATGCTATGCTTTTCAAATTACATTTTGTACCACTGCTAACATTGCAGTAGGCTAGCTGCCAGCAGCTGCTGCTGCAAGCAGCCTATGCGCTCAGTCTTCCACAAGATAAAACGCAGGGTTCCTGGCTAAAAGCTCGCAGAGGTATTGGATTGGGTCCAGCTGTAACAGAAGCAGACGGGGCCGGATTATTCGTGCAGATTCAATTTGCTGCTTTGGAAAGCCTACCTGCGTCATCTGCCCAACAGCGCTGAGTCTCAACGCCAGCAAACATCTTGTGTGTTCCTGACTTTTGAAGACGCCCCTTTAGCGTTTACCTTTTTTCTATTAAGGGAACAGCACAACATGCGAAAGGTCCTGCGGACAGACAGTATAGGGACGAGGCCGATTCTGCTTGTGCGTTTACTTGTCCTACCTTCTGGTCGGATTAGTTTTGCGAGAAGAAGGTTTGATATACATTTCTGGCCCTCAGAGTCATCACTCTAATAGCTTTTCCTCTGCAAATCAATACCTTCAACTGCCGAGCAAGGCGATTCATCAGTGATTTGTGCTACTGCAAGTGTCTCCAGCCTAGCTGAATCACCCTCGCGCAGTAATTGCTCTGTCCGTAAGAGCAGCACTTTAGCACTCGTTGAGTGAAGAGATAACTACTGCAGACAAGCATGTGATAGGTTGCCTGCAGGCACTCTTCGTAACTTCTGGGTAACCATGACCTGGTGCTCAAGGCCGAATTCTTCCCAGAGAGCATAGGCAATCAACGTGACCCTGCAAAGTGTCACGACAACTGAAAACGTAGTCTCCAACGCTTGGCTTGCGGATCGTAGCCGCAAGCATCTACCGAAAGCGAGCCCTTTCAAGCCACAGCGTTGAAAAGTTCTAGGACTCTTATCCTTGGACCGCGTGGCGCATTAAACCTCCTGAAACGCAAGGACGAGCATTTTCTGTACAGAGACAGAAGATGCGCACAAGGAATCATGGCTGTATGTGGCAATTGCCTCATAAGCAAGTTACCTAACGCAGGGCCAAGCCGTCCATCCTGTAGGTGATGCGCTCCCTTCTGGCGTTGTTCGCTAGCACTGACTGCAGCCAAACCACTGATTCCTCAAATCTCCAAAGGACTCTTCTGTACTGAGAGCTATGTGGCAACTAAAAAGAGCGTTCGGCACGGCACCTTGAGAAAACTACCTACCAGATGCTGCCTACTCTTCCATGGCAAACCGCGAGTGCGTCACAGCAGCACCCGTAACCGTGTTTCTGCTCATTACTGTTGCAAGCTCCCGTATACCTCCTAGTGGTGCAGAACTGCAATAAGCTGATATCAGTGATGCAGGAACTTTATGTAGGCGACAAAAATATGCCACTTCTGCCTCCGCATACAAGAAGTAAAGTGGCAGCTGGACTGTGATGACAAGCCCACGCTGCTTCGCCAGTATGGGCATCTTCTTTGCTCCAACTTGGAGCACAATAGCTGCTGCAGGATCATCGAACATATTGCAGTAAATTGCGACGTGCGACGTGCATTGCTCGTTCGAAAACGCTGCCGAAATTACTTGGAAAACTCCGCTCCCAATCTTCTGCTGTGCCTAAGCCCTAGGAGGCAGACGACATAAACTTGAGGTCATCTTCGACCCAGAGGTCCCATAACGGGTTCTGAAACTGACAATGAGTGTTTAACTTTGTAAATATGAGTCGTTTTAATTCAATAACTTCATCGCGTGGGGGGCGTTTTCCTGCCTTGTAGATAATCAGAGCAGCACTCAAGCGACGAACCATCTTCTTCAGCGCAACTGATGCATTACCAACAAATTTCCCACTGCTAACAGGAATCTCTAGATACAGCTGCTGCACAAACAGGTCCCACCAATTTTTGGCATCCATTTTCTCCCCAAGCAGCTCGACCGTGCACACAAGGTAATCAAGTGCAACAATTATCGAGGCTATCTTTCTGGCAAGGTGGAATGGAGCCGGCCGCATGTGTTTCCATGCTAACTTGATTCTTGCGTAGCTGGCCAAACGTTCAGCTGTAGATATCAGCTCCTCCACATCTTCAGCGTCTAGTGCAGGCTTGAGAAACAAGCCACGCATTGCCGTGTATAGCTTCATTGGAGTAGTTTCACGGACGTACATTGACAATGCGAACTCCCTACGAAAGGACCTGCGCACATTCTTCGGATCTACCACAGGCAGTCTCCAATATGGATGCATAAGCATATCTCTAGTTTCTGTGCGAGACTTTGGCAACTCGCCGGTTCCAGCCGTGAATCCTTCCGAGCAGTGCTGCGTAGAGGCAGCAGCCCGCTCAACTGGAAGAGCTTCCTCTGTGTCTTCTCCACGGGCTGCAAACGTGTCTGTTAGAACGGCGGACCCCGAATCAGAGCCGCAATCAGTTCCCCGTAGACGCTTCAAAGAGGGTACCACCACTACTGAAGAGGATGTCTGCTCAGCCGTCGCAACGCCAGAAGCGGCTGCCCTCACGGTGGTATCTTGCAGCATGGGGTCCTCTGTGACTAATTCGTAAGGCCTTTTCAGGGTAACGTGCGGAGTGAGGCCCCTGAAACTATCTTTCATACTGCCTTCTGCATGCAGAATGCAACCGACCGACTTGTCGTCACTCTGCAAGGGTGCCGGAGACGCAGCAGAAGGCTGCATCGAATGCGACGCACGCGGAAATTGTTGTGATGCCGACGGTCCGGAACCATCGACGGGAAACTGATTGGTCGCTTCCGTTTCAGGGTTTACTTCTGTTCCGTCCTCAAACAATAGCTGCGGGATATACATCAGCCACGCATCAGGAGCTAAAGCATCGAGCAGAGGAATACTTGTCTCGTCATCTGGCAAGGTGTAGGAGATGGCATTAGGAGGCGCCTGTTGCTGCGGCATGGCATGCGGTGAAACCATAATTCCACGAAACATGCCTTCGCCCCCAGTCTCATCGACGCCGTACTGTCCAACAAAAGACCATGCAGGCCGCTCATCTGAATACCACGATGGCGCATCTTCACGCTGTTTTCCGTAATGCAGGTTGAACCACCAGCGTCCATCTCCTCTGTCAGACGCATTTGATTCCACCGCGGCGAGTCCATTGGAATGACTGTGTGACTCTTCCCCCAATCGATGAAGGCTCTGATAATCCCGCCCATCAGTAAGTCCGGCAGGTTCATACGACGGAACAGGCTGCCCAGACCACCTTCTACTCGGCTCTTGAGGTCCAGAAGCACCGCGATAGAGACGAAGTTCTTCTTCCAGTGAAACACACCCTTCAAGAATATCTGACAACTCCTTATCACCACCGCCGTCCGAAAGGCTGCGCGGCTCTACTCCTGAGCCTCGTTTCTTGATTTGTTCGGCCAGACACAGAGCCAGAAAAGCCAAAGTGACCGCAAGGGAAACAGCTGAAGCTAATGCCGCAGGAAAAGAAGCAGAACTCGGCCGTTGCCGCCGTAGTCTCCTCCCGGGGCCAACCCAAAGCTGACCTGAATTTTTTGATCCCACAGAGATCTTAGTGTTACGGACAGGATCTGGTTTATGCGACGTGGAAGGTGCCAACAGTTCTCGCCACTCCCCTTCGAGTGGGTGGCGCCTTTCGGCTTGCAAGAGAGGGAGCGCTTCTGCGCTCGATGCACATAGACATTCAGCTATTATTGATAGTAAGAGAGGTAATGAGTAAAGATGTAGGAGATCGTGCCTCATGGAAGTACCCTGCGCTGGAAGCTGACTGCGTCGCATGATTTACCACTGGTCAGAATGTACCTTTTCATGAGACGTCAGTGCCAGTACAGCTCGTAATCTAATCTAGTCCTTCAAGGGAAATTAGGTTTTTGTTGTGACCCATTCGTTCGCCAAAAACTTCTGGGCCTTATGGAACCTGTTGTACAGGCCTGCACGAAGGCCAAACACAACCAGTTGTTCAGGGATATCTAACCTTCCATTGGTGCATGACGCTGCAGCAGCAGCTACTAGCAAACAAGTAAAATGATAAATGCCGCAAATATATTAGACCATGAAATGTAATTGAGCTTCGCTCTGGGACACTCTGCCCACACTGCTCCAAAGGGCAGGCGGCTATTGCGAGCTGTGTTGAAGTGGGCAAGACACGTCAGACATCCCATTCAACGGGAAACCATATCAAAGGATCCCCATATATTTTTACCCGTTATTAAATAATTATATTTCGAAACATAAAAATATTAGATGCCCAAAGCATGGGCGCGTTTCGCGTTGTATCTAGAATTACATCGCAGGTTTTGGGAAAGGCGCTTCTAGCAGAGTGGCATGATACCATCAACACTAAGTGGCTTACGTCAATGGAGCGTAAGATCTTGACTTAAGTTCAAATTTTTAGTCCATGTGAGTGCAGATACTGAATTAACTTTTTCTTTCCTTACTGTCCCAGAACAAATTTTTGCCGCTGGGTCCTGTTTGTGGCTGCGGATTGACCTAGTTTGCTCCGGCAAGGTATAGCCCGTCGAATGGGCAAATGTACGTGAGTCCTCCTTCTTTTGTTGCCTCTCTGCGTATTAGTTGTGTAAATAGCCCCGACTGGCTTGTCGAATGCGTTTTCGAGAGGTGGGCTCTAATGTCGATGACTGTTTGTATTAGCTGTTATGTTTGTGAATACAGTGGAGCAGCTCTTCTAAATACAGTGATTGAATGAACTCTATATCTCCGGTTGTGCTTTTGTTTAGGATTAGTTTGGTTTTTTAGAGGCTCATACTATGTCGTCACGTACAGGGCCGTGCGCTGCTGAATGAAGTTGGGAACGTGTAGTGTACAGGCAGTACAATGGGTTCTCTTGAGGCCTCTAGAGACGAAAAATAGAGCAGACCTGGTGATTCGATAAAATTGGCTTAGTTTTTACCGGGGTTAACGTTTGGGCCTAGGAAGCCCGCTGTTGGCCGAGTCACGAGGCGGGTTGACGGAGCACCGACCTAGCGAGGTGTAGACACGGACCTCGTGGGGATGCGCTCACCAGTCAGTTACATTTTGACCGATGTGTAACTTGGGTTTGTCCCTAATAGGGAGACTCAAAGAAGAGAAGTAAGGTTCCGATTTTGATCATTCGAGTTCACCCGCCGGTGAAGGTTTAGATTCCGTGTACAGCGGCGACAGCACAGCGTACTACAGAGCTTGTGCTTCTACTTCTGCGATTTTCACCTGTTCTCTCTAACACATCGCCTTTTTTGTTGCTTCCCTTAGTCCAGTCCTCATTCGCTGTTAGGCGCAAGCTTCTCGGTATTCCAAGCGTGTGCTGACAGCCTCTTTTCGGGCTTCCCCATCAGCCCGCTTAGAGGCCATGAAACCGGAGGAGCGAAGAACTTTTTCTACCTCTTAAATCGTAGATACATTGTCCCCTATTAGTATCTGTTGGTTATCAAACTGGGGTCCCTCTGCTCGTACGCGGTCCCTGTTTCTACTTTACCCGAAATTTGGTAGTCAGTACTAAAATGTCGACCAATCCCATCGTCATCGCCTGAAGAATAGCTGCTTAAGTTTATCAAATTATTACTTTGAATTTTCCCAAGTCAGTTGCGAAAGCCTAGCCGGGTCCCCTTATCTGGGAAATTTACATCAAGTTTACAACATAGGAAAGTGCAAAAGGACGTTTCACCCTGTCGGCCGAAAAGAACTCCTAGCCTTCGCTACAAATCGTTGGGTTACCTTGATGCGCAGCTGTCTTAACAAAGTGCAGAACTTATTCTGCATAAGATTGTAAACAACCCTTTGAACACACAACTTTGAGCAAAGGCTTTTAAGCACCAAGATTTATTTCGTCCGTGCCATGCAGCACTGCAGAGCATGTTGCCAGCTATCGTAAATGATCGCCATGGCTCAAGAACTTTGCTTACCCACGAATGTGATGCGGAAGAGATTTCTGCTTAGATAAGCCAAAATGGTCTACACACCAGTTGGCGTTTAGTGCAATGAGTCGATCGTCAGAGGCATCTGCTACAGAGGGAGCGACCAATAAGGCAACAGATCCCAATTTCGCTACTGGAAAAAACTCGATTGAGCCCGAGCCCAGATAAAGCCCCCTTCTTGAAAGTATCGTGGCTTCATTCGATGGAACAAAGGCACGAGCTCTTATATGAGCAGATGAAGCCGCCCGGCATTTTTGTTCCGAAAAGCATGATATCTGTGGAAAATGCTTTTACTTCGCAGTTTTCAGACCCTCACAATTCTACACCAGTAATACGCCTGCACACATAGCTATGTTATACCGGGGTTTGCTGTGAATTTCAGAAGCAAAAGACTACAGGCAGCAATGTTAGGAGATGTAATATCACGTCAGCTGTATGTGTGCTGCGTTGGTTGTCATCCGGCTGATAGATACGAAGATTTAGACGTTATCCGATCTCCTAGTGAGGATTGTTTGTGTAGTACACCGCGTTCTTTGCAGCGACTACGATGCTACACGGCCCACAACTTGGGCGTTCTATGAAATCTTCTCTACTATCGACGCATAGGTCGTGCAACGTCTACCATTTTAGTAAAAGGACATTTTTGTTTCAAATTCCGAAAAAACATATTTCCTAAAGGTCACTCCTCATGGTTCTTGCTTTGTTCGTCCGGTGAGTATGTGACGCGCACTGGTGCCGGCGTTGTCGGCAGCCCCAATCTTAGAGCATTCGCAGGCTTTTCTAGTCTATAGATGTTTATTTGCAAATAAAGTACACTTCTATTTCACTAGTAATAGGTTACAGCGCTCAATCTGCGTCTCAACCTCTTAACCGCTTATAGGTCATCAGTGTGATGCACAGGCACTACAATGGGGCTAGGTAGTCTCCTAGAGACGATAGCTAGCTAGCGACCTACAAGGGGACGCAACAATGGAGGAGGACAGGACCCTCCTACTAGGATAAAAGTAAGAAAAACTGTCTATCAGTTCAAATGCATACGTGAAATGTGTGGAAATTGTGTGGAGACTGGGGCTGGCGATAGCGCCGGCACCAGTGCAGGCCTCCTCCCCATAGGGCGTAGGAGGCGAGCTCCCAGAGTGGGGCGAATCGAACAGGGAGATTTTAAAACACTTAAGAATTATTGTATTTCGATGAAATTAAGCTACAGTTTCCAGGAAATGGGCCTACGCTAGGTGTAGTTTGTAGGCCTGCTCGAGGGGCAGGTAGCAGCGTAGTCGCAGCAGTAGGCGCTGCGCACTACATTTGGGAGCTGCTCCGGGATTGACACCTTTGTTCTTTCCCGACTTGGGGGTAGAAATGCCATGTTTTAAAAACTCGTGTCTAGAAATCTTCGCTCGGAAGGGGATGCAGCTCCGCAACGGACGCGTTATCGGCCCCACGCCGCAGGAGACTTCTACAATGTCAGTCAACAAAATGCCGAGCGGGACACGAGCCCATGATCGCCACGCGACTCCGGAGCCCACCGTGGCAGACCGGCCGCATGGGCATAAGGAGGCGCCCCCACAGGTGATACCTATGACCAATGTTATGCCAGGGGACAGTCCCTTCGTCACGTGGGACCAATTCCAGTCCGCAATGAGCGTGATAAGAACTGTTATAGGGGGGAACGTGGAATCCGACGCAACGACTCCCATACTACCAGAAGACGGTAACACTATGGAGGCCTTTCTGCTGCGCATCGAGCGCCGGTACACCCAGATGGGATTGGAACCGCGGGAGTGGGTAAATGCACTTATAGACCACCTTGTGGGCCCCGCTCTAACGTATTGGATGTATCTACGGAGAACTATCGACCTAAGCGACTGGACGACAGTACAGCGCAGGCTTTTTGAGCGGTTTGACAGAACAATGTCGCAGAGTCAATTGCTAACGGAGTTGGCCAAAGTACGGTGGAATGGTAACCCGAAGGAATACACGGACCGGTTTGCGGCTGTAGCGGAGCGTGGTTTGGGTTTTGCCCCCGACAAACTCGCGGACTATTACTGCACTGGGCTACCGACAGACCTCCATCTTCTAATAACCAATAACGGACAAGTGAAATATCAGTCGTGGGAACAAGCGGCGACCGCCGCAACACG